ATCAGTGATCCAAGATCTGTCTAGATCATGGTGCATCAAAGGAACCGGTGAATCCATGACCAGAGTGGATTCACCGGTTCCTTTGATGCGACATGACCCAGACAGATCTTGGATCACTCATCCGGATCCGGATCACCCCAAAGGAACGCAGCCTTCATTGCAAGTGGGAATAAACACAAATGTTGAATGTCAAAAGCGGACTATTTTTGCCAAAGCTTGAGATACATTGCATTATTGGAAGAAAATACATCAAATGACCAAAATACCAACCGCTTTTAGGAAAACCTCAAAATAGTTTAACTGGAGGGAATGTGAAATTTTTCGTGTTTCAGCGAGGCAAGGAGAAATCCGATATCTACAAAAAAAACACAAAATGCTTAATGCGTGTGTCTGAGGTTTGCGTTTCGGCCGTGTACGATCTACCATCAATGTATTTTATTTCTTTCTCTTTAGGAACTACACAATATTGCCAATGAAAAAGAAAACTACAATTTTATTCGTGATAAAGCTGCGACAAATATACATACATTCAGTTTTTGTTCGATAACAAATGCGAACTTTCGTAAATTAAACTTTCTATTCATTTTCCTACAACATACCGCGACTAAATTGTAATGTGAAAACGAATTTTATTTCTTTTGAAATGGTAGACCATAGTTTACAATCAAATGGTAGCAAGAATCCCGTTTTACGAACAAATGTCACTTCCGGAATGCTCTCAACCAAACATGTGGATAACTGATTTCACAATAGTAATTATAGTAAAGGCGCAGTTTAAACGGCTTTTTGCATGAAAGTGGCAAGGAATTAGACGGTCTGTGCATTCTTCACGGTTTGCAATTACCACTTTTTTCGTTGATACGCGACTTTGGAAAACAAAACACCCGCGGAAACGTTTCCGTCATACGTGTTATCGACATATCGGATCGATATCCACCAATCACAGCAACTAGTGTGACCTTCTGACCTTCTGACCTTCTGACCTTCTCTACGTCATGCCAGCGGGCTGTGATTGGTGGATTTCGATCCGATCTGTCGATAACACGTAAGACTGACGGAAATTTTGGAAACGTTTCCGCGGGTGTTTTGTTTTACAAAGTTGCGTATCAACGAAAACGGTGGTAACAGTCATTTATTTCGTCATGGATCTTAGGTAAGGAAAAAATAACAGAAATAAAATAATAACTTGAAATCGGGGTGGCCAGACTGGCGACCATACGTCAAAAGTTAGTCGCCAGCGGACTAAATCTAGTCGCATTGGCGACCCCACAGGTCGCAATGTCGAGCCCTGTAAAAAGGGTAAAAGTTTCAAGCGGTGTTGGCAAACTTCGAAAAGTTGGCAAACTCGTGCGTTCGCCCGTCAAACTCGCGTCAAATCACAACACACGCTAAATTTGCAACATGGCCGACGTAGTACAGTGGCACTCACGAAGAGTTGCCGCTTGTGTCTTGGTCCTGTTGTATGTTTATCGCCAAAGAAGAAACAGAAAGCGCTGAAATATTATAAAGGTTTGGACGAAACCGTATATCAGTAGAAATCTGACCCGTGTAGCGTACAACACACTCGTCCAAGAGCTTCTTCTCCTTGATTTTTGTGTCATTATACCCTGCAGACGAAACGTCCAACAGATCTGGACAATTCTGAACTTCGTCGATTAATTGAAAAGTTGCACGTTCGTCTTCACGTCCGTCCGCCATTTTGTGAAGTGTCACGCAAATCACGTGAACAGAGCGCGTGTTTTGATTGGTTGACAGTCACCAACACACGTTTGCAAACCGTTCACACGTAAAATGCAAGTTTGCCAACACGAAAAAGTTGGTGAGAATAGAGGCAGGTTCTATTTGTCGCCAACAGTTTGCCAACGTGTTTGCCGACTGTTTTTGTGCCGTTCACACACACCAACTTGAGTTTGCCAACATGAGTTTGCCAACTTTAGTTTGCCGTGTGAAGGGCGCTTTAGTCTTCCAAAACCAAACTATTCATTTTGGGTCATGCCCAGGTCATGGATAAATATCGCTAGTGGTTTGCTGAATGAAGATATGGCCAATATGGCGAAGTATATTTGCTAAAAATACAATTCCGGGATTTTGTTGTAGAAAATCGTATCTTGATGTTTCATTTTTAGGACTGAATTATTCTACGGCACTGTATAAATTGAATTATGAAGTTTGGTGTTAGAGTTGTTTTCGTATGAGTGGGAAACGGCAGGAATTTCGAGTGTTTTTATGGACATTACGTTTGTTTTGATTAGGTTATGGTCGATAGACTATGTAAATATGTAACACATTGCTGTGTGACGTCTCCCGGTCGGGTGTACAAGGGGAGGGCAACCTGGGATGAGCTGATTGACAAAATTAATCCTTCATCTTTAGATGAAGCATAACTTGTGCTTCTGGATAAGAACAATTTATGTCTGGCTCATTCTCAAAGTTTTTGAGCGAATCTTATTGTGGTCGAGGTCAACCTTGTTTGGCATTTGCATCCGCTGTTAAAAATGTACTGATTAATCCAAGTCTGCATCAGGTTGCATTGACAAGACTGTCAAGCAATTTATTGCTAGAAGGAGGAAGGAAAGACGGGAGTAGGCCAGAGCAATAAGAGAATGAAACAAACTTGCAAATGTCAAACAGGAACCAACCTTGCGTGACATGACCACATTGATGCTAGCAGCAGCAGCAGCAGAAGCAGTAGACAGTAGTAGTGGTAGCAGTTATAGAGGAATGCCGTTTTCTAATTATTACTTTTCGCATATTTCAGTCATGTACAAACGTTTCACCAAGGAACTAATCGATGACATTGAAGTTGACATGGAGTCAGAAGAGGTCAAGGAGATATGTGAAGCAGTAACCCTACTGATCACTAAACTCCTTAACCATGTCGAGGAGAGCATGCCTTTTCTTAAGTCCAGTGATGTTTTGAGATGTGGTAGCATGGCTGAGGGTACTAGGATCTGGAAATTCACCGATGACAATGAAAAAACTGTTTTGGAGTTTGATTTTCTGTCAGTTTTAGAAAAAACTGGTGCTAATGATTTTGCTGCAGACAACTCGTGTCACGGATTCATGAACATAACACAAGAAACGGCCATTTTTCCTAACAACTACCAAAACTTATCCCATGAAGTTGGGGCAGTTGGAAGGCTAAATGCAAACATGGTTTCATTCATGTTTAAAACAGAACTGATGAAAGCTGTAGGAAAGCTTTGCTCATGTTTAAAGTGTGATATAGGTGTTTTGCCAACTGGTGACTACATTTTTGGAAATATAACTGAAACCTCCGAATATTCAGAAGAGTGCAGTGAATGTCAAATTCACCTTAAAACGGGCACTTTGGCCATTGCCACGGGTGGGAACTTTCATCCATTACAGTGGGGATCGTCAATGGTCTTCTCGTGGAAAAGAAAGGTTCTCGATGGGATGAAGTATCCTTGTGAAAAGTCTCGACAAAAGCCAAAGATCGACAATGACATTATCATATTAGTAGATTTTTTGCCAGCCATTGAAGTCACAAAGCAAGGAGTATCTCCCAAGGAACACCTTTGTTATCTCGTACCAAAAATCTGTAAACATGAGCATAACACTTGCTGGAAAATCTCCCACTGTAGGAAGGAGGTAGGCGAGCTCGTAAGTACCAACCACTTGCATCGCCAATGCTACATGGTCTTGAAGTTCATCCAGGATTACATCGATTGCGAACTTAAAGGAATCCCTGAGAGCCCTAAGACCTACATGATCAAGTCAGCGGTTATCTTTCACATTCAATCATGTAAGAAGGAAGACTCCTCTATAGAGTCTTGCTTGTTGGAAATCATCGATTTTCTCACTGATGCATTTGAGAATGAATTTCTCCCGCACTTGGTTCTCGGGTTCAACTTACTAGACAAGTATCAGGACCCCGCCCTTCCACCAGAAGACCAGCTGTGGACTGGGAATAGAAACACAGTCATGAGCAAATGCTGGGGCTTCTTGGGTCACGTGTTCAGAAACCTTGACTCGATCGTTGCTGTGGGCTTCGATTTTGACACGATTCAGACAATTTTAAAGTTTATAACACTGGAGTATGGGGTTTGTTGGGGGAAAACAGACTTCAGAGATTTGTATCTCCCAGAAGAGAGCTATTTCTTAGAACTGCTGAAAAAAATTGGTAGAGGTGATTTTCCATCTAAAAGCGAAGTGAAAAGCGTAAGACAAAAAAAGGACAAGTACCAGAAGGAGAGATATCAAGGAAGGAACCGTTCTCTTCATTATATGTGTATGTTACGATGCCGCAAGGTCCGACAAGATTTGCTCGAGTCAGACGCCGAATTTTACCAAGGCTTGAAAACGGAGGAAGAAGTACGTGATTTTGTAGAAAAAGCTCAAAGGGTCCCGAAGATTGACAAAAACACGAAGCCGTAGGGCAGGAAAGAGGGCTTTCCAGGGATTGTATCGTTAACAAATAAGGTAATGATGAACGTCCGCATCAATCAGACAAGGCCCATAATCAATATTTCATAGATTTTGATCCTTTAGTTCTTCCCATGGCAAAGGCAATCTTTCCAAATAGCGTTTTTAAGAATGGGTTCATTTTAATTACTTTTTCTTGTGTGTTTCTTTTCTGTTTCTCTTAAGATAAACAGAGCCAATTCTTGACATTAATAGTCATAAAGAACATACAACAGTTACAAAATTCAAACATTTTATGGCAACAACTTGTGACTGTGTGTCATAACGGGATGTGTGAATAAAAAACATCGTATTTCTGAAGTGAAATAGCCGTTGAATGAGGTGGACAAGGCACTAAATGGTCATTATTAACACCCATTCTTTCATTCTGTGGTGGTAGAAACCCGTCGCGCAAACTCAACATGTTCGTTCCATTTTTTCCATGCTTGGTTGTTTCCCCCCTGTTGGAAGATCGCGTGGACGCACTTGTGTGACAGCCTCAATTCTGCCATCGACTGCTTCTTCTGTCTTTATACCTGGTCAAGGGCTCGGGTGTATACTGGTGGTAGCCTATAAAGCCTTGTTAAAAAAAAACCCTTGATCAATAATCGTCTAGTGCATCCATGCTTGAATAGCGTTTAATGAGCTTGGCGCGTGTCATAAACGGAATGTGAATTTAATTGCTGCTAATTACAAGCTGCTTAAAAAATGCTCTGGGACCAGTTCGGACTCTTGGATACAACACAAACGAGTACGCGAGCCGTGTATAGAGAAGTCGGGAGACCAAAAGGTGACGATCAGAGCGTGCAAAAACACTTGGAATGACTGAAAAAAATTCACACATCTTCAGTGAGGCTAAAGACGGAAGTGGTGAACAACTTCAAGCCTGCACTCGCAGAACTCTTCTCTCGAAGCCCTTTACAAACATTGATGCACGAAACAGATAGAACTGCGGTTTACACTCTTCTCATACGCGGTATGCTAATAATCTGAACAACTACCAACTCGTGAAGTGGTGACATGACCTCTTGGTAGAATTTTCTCTGTTTGAGAAGATAAGATCAAATCCGGTTCACCACAGAGAAGATCAATGAGTAGATTTAAGGAAGAGTCTACGATATCTTAACGTCTTTGAAAACAATTCGCGATGACCTTTGTGCGGCAGTGATCGACTCAGAGGTTCGCCTAAATCACTCCTCAGCCACTGGAGGAACATACAGACAAAGAGCGCTGGGGTTTTACTGTTAACTTTTATATAGTGCGAGATGTCTTTTCTAAGATCATACGGCAATGATCCTCACTGGAGTTTCATATAAGCAGCCGACATATGCTTTATAGTCAGAGAACTGAAATTAATGTTGTAGTTTTTTTTTTGGCTGTGTTTTCAGCTTTACCACATCAATTAAGAATAATATCATGCACACTTAATAGAGGCACGCTTTTTACGGCCTTATAAAATAAGCTCCTCAATTTTTTGTCACCGCAAGCATCGCGCGTGTCGCGATCAAGTTTTCACCACGCGCCCAACGCCGTTATCTATTGTAAAAAGGCGGGAAAAGCTTGTTGAAAAACAAAATGTTGTTCGTGCTCAGGGGCCCGTTTCTCGAAAGTCCCGGTAACTTTACGGGCCCGAAATCAAATATTCAAAACGAAATATAAAGAATAAGAGCGCGGGTCCTGGCTAGCAAACTACGCCATTTAGTTTCATTAACTGACGGTTTTTATCATGTTAGATGCAAAACTATTGAGTCCCCCTCTACTTTTCATCGGTTTCTTTACTTCGCAACGCTCTCCACTATCTGAACGCTTGGAACAGGCTATTGAAACCTCGATCTTTAATGTAAACGGAGACAGCTTACCGGGCCCGTTAATTATCGGGACTTTCGAGAAACGGGCCCCAGCACCGTGAAATGAGAATGCGTTTTATTCTCTCGACTATGAATGAGACGTGGCTGGCTTCAAATATTGCCAGAGGCATTAAGTAATACGTAACCATAACACGAAAACCTCTTTATTAAGTTCACAAGTATATTCACACAATTTTCCGGTGAATCTCCTGAAGAGAGAATCATGTGGTCGAAGACCAAAAACAATATGAACTTCCAGCCTGAATAAACCATAACCGATCAGTCCACGTTAATCGTTAATTTTTTAGTGAAGAATAAGGATAGGGGGAGGGGGGAGGGAGCTTATTAACTTTCCTCCTCTGAAAAGGGGGGGCTAATCAGAGAGGGGGGGGGCTTATTAACTTTCCTCCTCTGAAAGGGGGGCTTAATATAGGATTTACGGTAACTAGTATACAAAGAGGGTTCACGTAGCAACATCACAACTTCCAAACTGCAAAAATATTAAGCTTGAAACATCATCAATTTTTGTTCCATCACTGGAGAGAAAAATCTGAGCTTTCCTTGTTTACTATGGATTGAATTTGTGACGGAAAAAGGCCTTTTCAGGGGAGCGACCGAGACGTGCAGCTACCCTGGTTCTAGACTCGATTTCACCCCTCCGCTCTTGGCAATGTGCGGCGGGAGGGGCAGGACACTAAGTATTTTTCTCCTCTCTTCCGTCTCGAGTGTCTGCATGGAAATCCACGCTGCCTAGCGCTTGCCGTCACTCGCCTGAAAACCTCTGTTCTACGCGCTCTTCTCCAGACCAGGAGCCCATGACTCTGCTTAGTTATCGTCTGCACGCAGGCTAGGGAGTGACAGAGGGCCGGGAATAGATGCAACCAGTGATCTGGACTAGACTTACTTAGTAGAGCCTAAAGCTAGGAATTTTTTCTCCAGTGTATTATGTTGCAACTATTAAAGTTATTCATGTTTTGCACTGCGCATCTCTTACTGCGCATAACAAGATGGCCTCCGTAAAAAAGAGCATATGAACTAACATTATTAAAATGAAGTTGACCGAAGAGGAACGCTTTTGCAACTTTTGCTTGCGGTTGTTTCTTGCCGAGGTGAGACTCAATGTGGTGGGAATGTACGTAACGTAAGCAGTACGTTTGTTGCTGAGTTCGATTTCCTCACGGAGAACCTCGATAGTGGATGTTTAATTTGTGCTTATTCACTTTGATTTCCATTTAAACGCTCTCTTTATCACATTGTGTCCTAAATGTAATATCTCGATGTAAATTCTGTAAAAACGGATTTTTAAAATTCTTTCTCCCCCCTTTCGCATACATTCTACTTTGAAACTCGCCCCAGTCGTCTCTCAAAAATCAAGGAAAATGCATTTGGTGCGCACTTTCTGCAGCTCTACCGCAAAAACGAGTACGGTGACCCCCATTTTTTATTTCATTATTTTAATAAGGACAGTGCTTCCTTTCGGTGAGAAAAAAATTGGTACAAATCTATGTTCAGTTTTTTGGCAATTTTACTAAATTGTACGGATTGAGCTATCACGAGTCGAATAGCGCGTGTCCAATTTAATTCTACTTTGGAGCGTAAAGTAAAAACAAGGGCATTAAAAGGCATTTTTCTGGTACGTAAGTGGATAAACAATACATTAAAGTCAAATTCTGTGCGATACCACATGCATCATTGAAAAAATCTTTCCTTTTTGTCTAGTTTTGGGCTGCGCGCGGTTTTTGTCAAAGGGTCCAAAATAACCGTGTTTGTCAGCATTGTGACGTCAAAACGAGCACGGTGACCCCCACTTTTTATTACCTTTTTATCATTTTCTTGACTTGTTACATCAGTGTACCAAGTTTCATCTACAATCTATGTTAGGTTCTTTTACTAAGCAGGGAAGCCGAAACTTCCCACACTCGCGGAGCAGTGAGTGCGCATTGGGGACGAATTTAAAAAGCGCGCGAACTTGGGAACAAATCGAACCGTCCAACATGGCGGCCACCTTAACAAAGCAACGTGCAGAAGTTGAAGGCTCGTTGTACGAACTTCAAAGGCTCCAAGAGAAAGCTGAAAGGTACGAAATGTAAAGGAAAATGACAAAGGAGCTCAAACACGTTCTGAATAGTGAATATTTTTCATAACTAAGATATATTTTGAACTTGAGCTGCCCACAAATATCGCTTTTTCTTATGTTTGCATGATTAATAAGCTTTACTGCTGTAATTGATTACTTGTTCCAGACGAAATGCTGTAATTGAAGTTGCTAAACAGGAAAAAGCTGAGGTTGATGATTTGCAAGCTAAAGGTCAGTTATCATCAACGGTCAAAGCCGAAGATTAACACGCAAAAACACAATTTTAAAATAAGCTCAAGCTTACAGTCTCTGGCATGCGATGATTTTAACAGTGAATTGTTATTAATATTAGCATTGGTTATTTTCAGTTGAATGGTCAATTAAGGCTAGCTACACGTTAAATACATAGTCAATGGAACATTTGGTAATCGAACTCCAATCGTTTGATTGACTTCAATTATTGGATGGGTTCGCTAATCGAACATAATCAAACTCACCCCAAAATTTTGCCAATCAAACACAATGAAACATAAGCGAATGTTCGAAAATCAATCATACTTCCAGCCCGCAAGCAAGCTCTCCGGGGTGCTTCGGTGGCGGGACAGGAAGAGGAAGGAGAGCTTGCAGCTATGTCTCTGGAATTTGAATATCTGCATCAAAAAAGTTGATGCGAAATGCTTATTGGCAGAGATGACATTAGTAATGATGTCATTACCCTTGGCACGTTTTTTGCAATGTTTGTTTACGTGCGTGCTCTTTACTGCTTCGTGCTCATTGGCGGAAATCTGACAGCTCAGTTGATGGGGAGCGACTGGGAAGCTGGAGGTGGAATTCAAATTCCAGAGATGTAGTTGCAAGCTCTCCTTGCTTTTCCTTCCTGCTGCCAGAGCGCCCCAAGAGCTTGCTCGCAGGCTATTGTACTTAATAAAACTAGCCTGCATCGCAGACACTCTAAACCTCCTGTAAAGAATGTCAGATGGACTATACCATTAAATGGTATAGATGATATGTGGGCAGGCTGCAACACAGGCCAACACATTAACAAGTTTCATCTCATTTCAAACAAGACGCTGTGGTTAACAAAACAATTAAGTTACGTGTCCAATTTCAAACACCAGTACAGACTAGGCAAGATGTCAGAGGGGGCAGAATACATGAAAGCCTGCATGAAACTAACAATTCTGGAATCGAACAGATGGAATTTACTGAATAAGAGGGGATTCTTTCCAATTCAATAATTTTTTAAAACTAAATACTCACTGATTTTTATACCATTTGTGTCTTTCTACCGAGCAAAATCGAACAAATCACTTTAGTTTGTTTGGTTCGAGTTTGGTAAATGAACTAACAATTTCTTTTAATAGAACTCGCTGAAAAGTTCCAGTTCGATTATGTTCGATTACCAAAACAATCGAACAACAATCAGACTGACTGGGTTCACTTGAGTGCGACTGATTTTTGGTTCAGCTTTGTTCCATTAGCCACGCTGGGAAAAGGTCATTCAACTTGTTGATTGTTGTAAAGAGAAAAGTGGTGGACTCCATTCCATTCAGCAAGTTGTAACTTGTGCATCAATCAATTCCCCAGTCTTTTAAATAACTAGAAACAAAACGTTCAGTAAGACTGACAGACTGTTGTTGCTTCAAAGTATCAGTCATTTCCTTCCATACCCCACCCCCAGTGAACTGCCCGCAGTTTTTCTTCTCAGATGACAAATAGTTTTTCTTCTCAGATGACAAATTCTTGGGGACAAGGATGCTTAAACAGCCAAGCACCTGCAAAGGAGATAAGAATAGGAGGGCAAATGGATGGTGCAGTTGAAATTGATTGATGCATTAGGAAATCATCATCATTATCAATCTGCCCTTTTGGTTGGGATGCTCTGAACAATCTTATAACACACATTCGAGTCCATCATAGCATTTACACTCAATTCTAGAATCCCTTGAGATGGTATTACGAAATAACGATAGTCAAACTAACTGAACTTTTTGTTTCTACTCATTCCACAATTTGCATCACCCACAGTTTGTTGAGTAATAACTTTTGATTGATGTCAAATCATGTCATCAGCTTGACAGAAGGATACGTTTGACAAAACCTGTGTTTTGTGTTTCACCATCTTGGCTATCGTTTTTATTATTATTTTTTCTTTCACAAATCTTAAATTTGAATGAATGATGGACTGTCACTGCTTCTTAAAGAGCTTTAGCACCTACCTCCTCACCCTATTGGAAAAGCAAATTCCTATCCCTCCAAAAAAAGCAGTGGAGTTTTAAGTACTTACCGGTAGATCTCGCAGCCACTTGTTCTGGGCATTCTACTATTTATTGTAATTTTATTGATAATTTTTGGTCTTTTGAATTTCTCAACCCGGTAGTTGATCAGTTAAAAGAAAGAAGAAATAAACTCCGCAAAAGGCTGAATAATGGTCCCCATGAAATATTACAAGAGTATCTGAAAAACAGCAAAGGTAGGTTTATTTGGCAGATTTTCTGAAGCTCAGTATTATTTCACTTAATCAGATGTTTGTCCCCTACATATAAATTATTTTGTTTTGCAGTACTTGCACTAAAAATGCATCCTGGCAAATCAAATTATTTCCCAATTAAAGATGCATTGAGAAGTGCATTAAACAAAATTAAATGCCATTGTTTTCCCCAGTTGTAATGGAATATAATATTGTTGTTTTAAATGGAACTGTTCAAAAATTTAAATCATCAAGCAAATTAGTCGACGGGTGGTTGTGTTCAAAAGCCTAATTATTTGCCTTGAAGTGCTTGAACATGCATTTACAGAACTTTTTTGTGAGGTTAGTTATAAAATATTATTGATGGCACATGAAACAGTTAACTTGTAATAGCAAAAGGTAGTAAGTGCTACTGAGCAACTTTTAATGCATCATATTTTTCATCCGCACCTGTATTCATTTTTAGCAGTGTCAATTTGTCTAACAGTGACTGTCCTTAGAGTGCTATTCCCTCTGGTTTTTTATATCAATTATTTTTGCGCTTGGTTTAACTTTGTTGAAGGTCAGTCTTCACGGAAGGACATTGTCACAGGCACCAGTAATAAGGTAAGTACTATATAGCTGATTGTGAATGGTAATGAGAAAGTGTTTCATGTGTACTGGTGACAATATTTACAGATAACTAAGGAAAAACCTCAGTGCTGTGTTAAGGTAGTAAAAAGTATAATCTACAGAGGTAACATCATATTGACAAGAAAATGTTATTGAAAGTATTACAGAAATTTTGATGTAGATGAAAGACTATCATTTTGGGGTAACTAAATTTTTGTTTTGTTTTGCGAATGCTCATCAAATTGCAAAAATTAGGTGCCACTGTAACATAAATAATAATTTTAATAATGTACTGATGAAATTTGTACTAGATGTGGGTAGTTTTTTTAAAAAATTGCTTTATTCAAGCACTGTAAATATCAGTTACCTTAGCAGGGCTGTCACCAAGATTACATGTTCATGGCTATTAGTAGGTGGGGAATTGAACAAATCAAAAATTCTTTCTTTCCTCTCTTTTTTTAATTAAAGTAGCCAGGGTGAGCCAGGGCTTATACCCATAGTAGCTATGGGAAATCCCTGGGACCTAGCCCTGATTGAAAACCCTGTCTTAACCCATTCGCCCCTGAACCGCCCGTAACCGCCCGTGCGGATCCAGGTCCTTTCTACCCTTTGTGACGTCATCAGTTTTAACAGTCAAGGACAACTTTCTTTGCTAACTTGTGCAGAGTGAAGAGATCTTTCAAACCATACCAGAATGAGCACAATTCAGTCAAGGACACCGGAGAAAGAAGCAAAAAACCATATGACATTGACCTGAAAATCTCCATGAAAATCTTGTTCCATTGCCCACCTACCTTTCCTTTCAACTAATCCTAAGATCCTAAAAGCTTTCCTAAAAACTCTTCCCACCAAAATGAAGCCTACTAAATGTCCAGCAAGAGAAAAAAAAAATGAGGCAAGAAAAGCGAAAAAAGAAGGGAGGAGAGAAAGTGAAAAGTAAAAGTCAAGACTGCTGTGTCACTTTTAAACCCAAAAACTATGTCGAAATTTTGCTTTCTGCGCATGCCCGAACTTCGCAAGCTGATATTTTTCATCTGAATCAGAAGGCCGCAAAGTGTACGACCTGTAAATCGGTCTGTGGTAAGTTTCAGCTCTTTATAGCACGACAGTGACCAGAAAACCACTCGACTAGCTTCAAAACGTGTTTTTCGGCAAAATCTCCAGGAGCGAATGGGTCAATAAGCCATCTTGTGTATTTAAACATCGTGATGGTACATGTATGGCCAAGGCTTGAACTCAGATCACCCCCAAATCCAAAGTTGCATACATTATTAATAACCACTACTAAACCACCATGTGTCCTTCAGTTGACAATACTACGTATATTTACAGGCTATCATCGCAGCTGTGAGAATGTTACAAAAACATAAGGTACGAGGAACATCTCATTTTACAATATTTAAAATAACTATTGGAGGTTTTAGTTTAGCTGATGTTTAAGCTATTCTTTCTCTTTAAGATGCTTCCATTATTCAGCCAGAATTCTCTGACTGAAAACTTGACTTTTAGCCAATAATACATCAAGAGGAAATTATTTGAGTGACATATTCAGTATTCTTTACAATCATTATACTCAAATATTTTTTAAGGTAATGCTTTTCTGCTTTCAGCTTACTGACCTGTGTGACACCTACAGACTGACAGGCATCTCAATAGCTTCCCAGGAAGCCAAAAGGACTTGTTTTAGATGCGAAACATTTTTTAACTGTAAGTTGAAATAAGAAGTTGGTGCATATTCTTAGCAATTTGCTAATAATTCTAGTGTTCTTGCTCCATAATTATCTATACATTGTTTCTCTGGACACTTCGAATGTCCTGTTTTTTTTTTCTCAGATATAAAAAAACCTCAAGCTTGACCTAGAGGCCACCTCTTTATCAAACAGCCTCTTTTTGTCCTGATAAACAGATCATAATATTCATACATTCATTCTTTTTTCAAGTTCCCCTTAGTGACCACTTTTTTACAAATATTACCATTTACCTCCAACCCCCTTAGTTGTTATTTTTACATTTGTATTTTGGTTTTCTTGTTGTACAAGTCAGAAGATCACCAATTTTGATCGCTTGAAATTCAAGTTGTAAGTAATTCTTTTTTTTTCAACCGATAGCAAGATATCGTGAACCATATTATATTGAAGTAGAGTTAAAGGACAATAGTTTAAAGGTGAGTTGTCAATAACACAGCACTGTATGTCTTGTGATAATATTCTGGCAGAATCGTGAGGGTTTGAAAATTGAGTGGATTCTGCCTGTACATATATTTAGGCCTTCAATCGGGGGATAAGCAAAATATTAAACACAAATCGTTTGTCTTGAAATCTCAACTAGTAAGGGCCAATAAGATAATATTAATATTTCTTGTTATTACTCAAATACCTAGCCAGTGTGGTAGGTGTCAAAAGGGGTGGTTGAGGAAAAGGAAAAGGGATGTCTGCTATATGAGACACGTATTGTTTATTTTCTGCAGTTGCTAGTGGTTGCAAATTTCTGATTGGCTGAGCTGTAAAATTATTAGTAACCTACTGATGTGCATTAAATAAGAAACAATACATGACAATGACAGGTAATGAAACAGGGTTGTCACCAAGGGCCAGGGGCAGGGGATTTCCCCCCGGTTACTTTCATGGGAAGCATGAAGGAAAATAGAACCAAAAGTAATTCCTGCATGTGTCACAGCTGTTCAATTACCCACCTACTATTATTGAATGAACATGAAAACCTGAAATCTTAGTGACAGCCCCGATGAAAAAAAAAAAAAAACATGTTGTATTGGAGCATCTAACTAGCAATTAGTGAGTATTATTTGATCTGGGATACTTACAGAGCTTCTTCTATGTTTAAAAAATCCTTTTTTACATCCCTTTTTTAGATCTGCAAGCATACTGTACCCTATTTTATCCCAGTTGACTCGATATGTCAACAGTACTTGAACAGTGATATTAAGGTATTTTGTACTTGGTTGAATTATGTTTTTTCCCTCAAATACCTAAAGTATCAGGAATGTGACAAACCATTGGTGATTGTCCAAGTTAGGTTTGTACAGAAAGAGATAAGTACCTTCAGTTTGTGGTTCTTCATGACGGTCATTACTACGAAATAAAAAGTTCCTGACATGAGAATAAAACTCTAAAATCCTCCCATTTTTTGGTCATATGACTTAAGTCATGCTTTTTTTATTCAAATGCCTCTTGAGTAGGTTAAAGGTAGGTGAATTGTGCGTGACAAAGTGCTGTCCCATACTCAGGGGCAAGTGGAGAAACCCATCCAGCTGGTGTGTGTTAAAAATGAGTTTTCCGACTGGCAAGCCAAATGCCTAGATAAAGTAAATACATGTGAAAAGGGGAATGCTAAGCCTGTACGACTGCTCTGGGCTACCCTGATAAAATTTGGTGTTGGGCAGACAAGTAGTTGATTAAAGAAGCAGCTAGAAGTAGGAGAGGCTGTTGCTCAGGAAGTTGAACTACTTAAACATCTGAGTCCGAGAAAAATATTCTGGAGTTTGCTCCAATCAAGCAGTCTGGATTTTGGGGGTTCTCCCTATTTGGAAGTCCTAAATGTTTTACAAAGTTGCCCTAAAAGATGTACTGGAGTATTTTTACACAGTTTTATTTAATAGTATAGTACTTGAAAGTGATGTCATCCCAAAGAAACTCAAATTTTCTAATCACTTTATGTTTAATCAATTGTTCTGACTTGATGAATATTGATTTTTTCCTTTCAGAAATTTTTCATGGTCATCTCAGAGCATTTGAATGCATTTGTAGCAAGACGAGAACAGGTAACTTGAGAGATTATTCTGTGTCTTTGTTTATATCTATTCAAAGGGAACAAACAGCAAATTGTTGTTGCTCAAAATGTCTATAAGGTGTAACTGTTCTTCAGTAGAATGTCCAAAATGTGTGCAACTCCACAATTGACCACTGCAGAAATACCATAACATACCATAATGCTCTTTGTAACAGTTTGTCACTCCAAAATTTTGCATAAGCATTGTCTTCAGTTTCTCTTGGGAGTTAAAATGGCCCCAAGAGAAACTGAAAACAATGCTTCTGCAAAATTTGGGGTGAAAAACAAAGAGCACTATGGTATGCTATGGTATTTTCTGGAGTGGTCAATAACTGACCAATAACAGAAATTATTATTATTGGTCTTGGCTCCATTAAATCTTTTACCAATAACAGAAAATTTTAGAAGGAGCCACCCACAATGTGAGCACAGTTATATGAGTAGGAAAACAGTCTAAACAAAATGTACATGTAATGCGTTTAATGACATTTTTGATCATGCAAAGAACTTCCATAGTTAAACTTAATTGATCTCTTTAGCTAATAATCATTTGTGCACACACTAGAATCCCTAAAATGGCTGGAAATCGAGTCTAATACTACTGTCTTTGTTTGATTGAAGTTTTGCATTATCTTTCACTTGAGCACCTCATCTTTAAGTAAATTCTTCTCACAGGTTCATCTTTGCCAGGAGCTTCACAGAGAAAAATTAGAAGGAGAAATATCATGCAGCCCTGCCCATGATTTTGTTCAATTTAAACCCAAGGTAGGGTAAATATTTCAAAAGTTGGTGCTTTCTGTTCCAAGCCGTGATGCAGTCCATTGCACGCACTAGGTTGAGGGAAAGGTAGTCTTCACACAAGGGCTTAAGTGTTTTTTCAGTCGAAATTTGAACTTTATTGATCTTCATAGAAGTAGTCCTGTGTTAAGACAAGCCCTTTTTGACTGACTTGAAAACCATTCAGGGATGTCACTAAGATTTCAAGTTGCCAGGTAAATACAACAAGCAGACGGGGAATCAAACAGCTAGAAGTTTCTTTTCCTTCCTTTGAAAGTAGCCAGGGAATGCATTGAGGGGAAATCCCGGCTTCCGGCCTGACTATTGAAAAAACCTTTTAAGCAGTGTGGAATGTGGCCATGATAGCCTTCCACCAGGTTACAGGTAAGTTGGAGGGAGGCTGGAGTGCAGTTTCAGCCATTTTGTAGAAATGTTGGTTAGGGAAAAGGGTGGACAAGTGACCCCTCTATATTGACCTATACCGTGGAATGGTTGATTAATTGATTATTCATCAATTTATTATTTTTATAATATTAATTTAATTGAAAAGTTTGGGCAAAAATATTATCACAAAAACATTCATTTACTGTGCAGTGTTTACAGAGATACTTGAACACTCACCGCTTCGGCAGTTTATTTAACTTGCAAAACTTTGCATGTGCATTTTGAATATTTTGATGTCATTTCTTTGGTTTATAAGAGCATACACAATTGGAAAATTGCTGTTACTACTGCATGTTTTTGTAAAAAAAAAAAACTCTTTTTGGGTTTTGGTACAAAAGCCAGAGCTGACAAGAGAGATTTGACAACTTCTATCAAAAATGTTATAAAGGATGACGTTATTAACTTCCAGTCAAGGGTATTACCATCTGATCTCATCAAGCCAAAAAGTAATTGATTCATCCTACTATCCTTTTAACTCACTTTTTGGACTACTGTAATGCATAATAATGAGGGGTACAATGTAACAGATAGGTGTATTTGCACTTAGCGAGAAATAATTGTATTAAATTCTTCAGAAAACAAATTACATTGTTCCTTGGACCAGAATTGTTCCAGATGTTCATAAACGTTGTTTCTAACACTTGCATTGTTTGCAAGTGCACAGAGGTCACACATCCAATGATAGTTTCCATCTAAACCATTCTGGAGAACACCACCCAACTTGTACTTTCCCTTCCAGCTAAAGTACTCATTATATGCAGTGCTGTTCTTGTCCAGGTACAATAAATAGTCAGCAAGTGCTTTAACAGAAGGGAAGTCCAATACATTGATATAAGACCCTGGAATAGCAATTTTCTTGTAGTCAGCTCCCCCCATTACAATAGGAACAATACCATTTTCTAGGGGGGAGCCCCAGTACTTCTCTGTCACATAATCCAGACACTCGGTGTTTTCAAAAGCAAGCTGAAACTTGTAGGATTGAAGAATCCTGGAGCAATCACCTGAATTTCTAGCACAACCTCCCCCGCCACATCTACCAAAAATATCCACCTGTACAAACTGCTTTAGTTTATTGACGTAAGAGAACCGTTTCCCTGCGCAGTTACTAACTGTCCACACAACCAACTTGTCTTTCCCAAGAGAGTAATCTCTAGATGCTTGTGGCTTCTCATCGTCAGCTTGTAGAGGTTTAAAGAATCCATATGGGAAATAAACATCCGAATCCCTACGATAAGTCATTGTCCAGTTAAATAATCCACCGTATTGCCTAGCATCAGGGCTGTGGGCAGGGCTTTCGAGGATAAAATAGACCCAGGCTTGTTTAGGGGGTCTTTTGTTGTGTAGCTCGCGAAGCGTATTTACATTTGGCATATCTCTACCGTGGAATATCACCACGTTGCTTGAAGAAAACTCTTCTGTTTTGTAACTTACAACGCAGTTTTGGACGGGACAAGGTTTTCCTTTAAAATGTGTCCAACTTTGCGAATTTTCCAAGCCTTTCCATGGGTTGGACCCAAAAAATGCCGTGTAAATTAATACAACACGGGGGCCTGTAGCTTCTGTCGTTGGAATTCTTTTCCCTGGTAGATCAGATAAGCTTGGATAATTTTTATTTGTTTTCAAATCAGCATAAGTGTTTTTGCTTACAGTGTCCAAAGAGGTAGGATTCCTTGCTGAACTTGCTGTGGAGCTCAGTTGAGTTTGCGATTTCAAAGATTCTGAATGAGTATAAATCAGCCGATGCTTGCTGATATCTGTTAGATGCTTCGAGTTCGTTGTTGGCTTTCGGTTAAAGCTTGGGTTATTTTGTGATTTCAACTTAAAATGCGTGCTAATGTCTGTAGGATTCAAAGAGGTCGCAGTGCTTGTTCTTGCTGTGAAGCTTGCCTGAGTTGATTTCAAAGACGAATAAGTCAGCCGATGAGTACTAGTGTCTGTTAGACGCTTCGAGGTCGTTGTTGCTTCTTGAATGAAGCTTGGGTTGGTCGATGATTTCAATGTAAAATAAGTGCTTTTTTCAGTAGGATTCAGAGGGGTCTGAATTGTTGAAAAGGCTGTTCTTTCAGGCCTTTGTGGGTCCAGCAGCGTTGTGAGAGCGCTGATGATTGTAGGCTTTACAGAGGTTATAGTTGCTGTTTCTGCTTGTTTTTCTTGTTTGAAGCTTCGGTAACTTTTGGATTTCACATTAAAACGAGTGCGTAATTTTGTAGGTCGCAGTACCGGACGATAAGTTCTTTGGTAGCTTCTTCTGGTGGACTTCTCTTTTCCTTGATTGAAGTTTGGATTCCTGTTTGATTTCGATCCAAGAGAAGTTCTTCTGTCTGTAGAATGCGTCGCCGTCGATTTCTTTTTTCCTACTCGTTTGACAGCGGAATGTTTCAACACAGAGGGATGCGGTCGGGTGTTCGAAAACTCCATCGAGGTTGAATTTCTTTGGCCTCCATTGTTGTGTAGTTCTGACTGAGAGATGACTGAGTTGAGGACTTGAGATTTTGAAGAAAACTTTATGCTTAGATGGTCCGCAAAATAAAATAAGGCAAAGAATAGGAAAAATGAACTTAAACATACCACTGACCAAACCTTCAGTAACCGTCTTTGGAACATGGTTTTGCGTTCGTTTTGTGATCCGCCGATCGTATTGTTATCGCTAAATCGTTTGCGTGACAGCGCAGTGTGAAACTTTGTCCTTAGCGTGTTCCAGGGTAGCCTGTTCCTGCCGTTCAGATAGGGGAGCGAGTTAACTGGGAAAACGGGGGAGGGGGCGACGGGGGGCGAGATCGAGAGTTCTCTCCCCCTTTCCCCCTCTGGTGTCCTCTCGTTTTTTTTTTCTTCGTGAATTTTTCTCCCGCGCTCTACTATCCGAACGCCTGCAACAGGCTAGTCCCAGGGTAGCCTGGGAACAGCAGATGTTTCTCGCGATGAGCGAGGAGAAACGTCTGCCGTTCGCAGGCTATAGTTCCAGGCGTTCAGATAGTAGAGCGCGGCGGTCAGTGGAGAGCGAGTTAAATTGTACAGCGGGAAAACGGGGGAGGGGGGGGGGGGGGTTTTCTTTTCTGCCCCGTGGACCTTCCTGGCGCGCGGCGGGCGGCGGCAGGCGCGGGGAGCGGGGGGGAGAGGGGGTGGGGGGGGGGGGGGGGGGGGAAGACGGGGGGGGGGGGGGGGGGGGGGTGGGGAGGGGGGGAGGGGGGGGGGGGGGGGGGGGGGGGGGGGGGGGGGGTGGGGGGGGGGGGGGGAGGGGGGGGGGGGGGGGGGGGGGGGTCGAGAGAGAGTCCCCTCCCCCTTTTCCCCTCTAGTCTGCCCTCGTTTTTTTTTTTCTTCGTGAATTTTTCTCCCGCGCTGTACTATCTGATCGCCTGGAACAGGCTACTTTATCCTATACTATAAGATCAAAAAATAATTGTTTACGCACTCTAACTGTTTTTTTTTGTGGGAAGCGGATTTCAAGGCTTGGCTGCTTGTACGCACGTGCGTATCTGAAGAATTGTCGAAGGCTAAAACAAAATCTTGGGGTCTTTTTGAACCATGGACACAATATTCTTTTTTTTTTTTCAGCAAGTGCTCGTTCCGTTACCCTGCGAGCAGTGGTTTCTTCGTGCCGGACGCTACCGGCCTGGAGAAACCACTGCTCGTATGATAATATATCATCCGAAATAGGAAAAGAAACAAGCAGTTATTACAGAAACGGTAAATTGTTTGTTTCACCAGTATAGGCTCCTGACAGTTACTGATCATACATAGTATCTGCCACGTCATGATCGTGGAAAGTTTTCCAAGAAATACATTGCAAAATACGCAAACTTTTATTGGAATAGTGTCAATGTTTATACGTTTGAGTGAAAAAATGCATTTCCACAAATCTTTTGAGGAACTTTTTACTAAAGGTCAAGTAATACTGGCAACATTTTCGTTTAACTTGTCGCGCAACATTAGAGCCGTTTATACCAGAGAAAATAAGCCGCGACTTACTATTGCTGCGGCTTACGTAAGACGCGAAGGGAACCATTTATACGAGTATGGCTTACGTAAGACGCGAACTACTAGTATAAATGGTTCACGCTTAGTACGCGGCAGAAAAGCGAAACGATTGGCTTTGGTCGGGAAAATTGCTATATTTTACTGTCTTTTTCGTTTCAAATTAACATTTCGGTCAACATACGTGCTGGGCTGTTGCGAATTTGTGCGGAAACAACGACGAAAAGTTTGTCAGCGATCAATCGAGTGGTAGAGTTAAGACGAAATTTCCGGCTCTCTCGTGCAGCAGGTCATTTTATGGACCTTACGATCCAACAACGGCGACGTCCATTAAAACGTCGCTGAAAAATACACTTCTCATCCTTTCACACTATTTCGCGATTATTCCAGGTCGTCCTGTTCTTTAAAAGAAGGGAATTTAGGTTGGAGCTCAAGAGAGAGGACCGCGCCCTAGTCAGACAGAGATGGCAGAATTCATCGCCTTGCTGTTCCCGTCCTCAAGTACACTTAAAATTTCGTCATTTCAAGTCGTAGCTGTGCAGAGACGGCAACGCAATTTACAAAAATGCGTGATGCACGTGCGGAGTTGTTGTTTTTCTCATTAAACCTATTGAATAATCCGTGAGCGTAGATTTTGTACCATTTATACGGGGTGTTCGCGTCTTATGTAAGCCGCGAATTATTTTCGTATAAACGGCCCTGTTGTTGCTGTATTACCACCCGCGCGCTCAACTAATCGCGCAACAAACTTCCGTGAAATTGCAAGTTGCGGTAACATGTTGCGCAAAGTAGAGCCAAGTTTAGGCTTTTGTGCCTGATGCAAGCATTTTTTCGAGCATTTTAGTGAGACAAAAGCATTAAGCATTATTCGAGCATTTTAGTGGCACTTTCCTAGAAAAGCAATTTTTTTCAGAGAAAATAAAAATAAAATATTTTTAAGGAAAGTGAAGACTCAAAATTCCAAAGCATTCCAAAAGCCACTCCAATACTGCAATACAGCCGAGTGAAGACTACAAGAAAACAGCGGTTTTTAATAGATTTGTCAAAGGCAGCGGTGTTTGTTTTTGCTTATTTGTGTCCATGCATTACCTTCGTTTGATGAGCATTATCGGAGCGTATTAGTGACTTCGGGGAAGACCGAGCATGTTATTGGGAAAAATGGAGCATTATGGTGGAGTATTTTAGTGGGGAAACAAAAGCATAGAGTGGTTTTCGTTTGAGTGTCGTAAAACCAAAACCAAAGTAATTACTCTGGCCAATCACATAGGACACAGACAATACATTGAACCAATCAAAACTCGAAGTATTTACATGTGGCTGACGCAAAGCGCGGGAAAATGCATGCGAGCGCGTCACAATTGGCTTTGGTTTTACTTCTGATTGGATGAAAAAGTGGCGCGAATCTTTTAAGCCAATCGCATCGTGTAGAAAGTGCAAAACCAATTACTTTTCGACACTCAAATGAAAACCGCTCTAATGTACAAAAGCCTAACCACTGAGTTCTACCAAATTTCTGGTTCTACCTCATGCAACAAACAATCGATTTTATCACTTGCGTCACATCGTGCCACGCGTCACAAAGCTTGTGATTGGTCTATTTTCCTGCAGAAAAAGCGCGGGAAAAATGGTTAGTCCTCGGACAAACTCTTCAGCCTAGAAACTTTTAGGATTTCGACATATTCGCAATCGCCAAAATCCATTCGCTGTCCCTAAAACTAATTTGCTATCGCTAAAATCCATTCGCTTTCGCTGAGTAATTCTTCAACGGATGCAAGGAAGTTAAAAACGTCTGGAGGAACCGCCTCGCTTTGTTCACACAAAGACAAAAGAAATCTAAGCAGCAAGGCTAGAGCGAAGCAACAAACCGCCGAGTCGCCATTAGCCCGGTCCAAGGCATGGGAGTGAAAAGTGATAACAAACGCGTGGGGCTGGGGAGAGAGAGACAGGTGCCCTCTCCAGATCGCGCGCGTTTTACTTCCCCTTGGCTTGTTTTTACTATTTTTTACTTCTTATAACCTATCAGGGGTTAGCATGACATCCCATCGGCCTAAACCCCCCTCGGACACCTCAAGAAGTTTACACAATTGCAACGTAGTATTACTAATCACTTCGGTTTCGAGCACAGGGTCAAGCAAAAATGAAGCAATATTGATTAGGGTTAAGCACTGACTCGAAACGATCAGCTTCCATTTAAGTTTAGGGTTGTTGGGGGTTGTTGCCATATAGGCTCAAATCAAACCATTGCTTGTCAGCCTAGTGGTGTAGGTAATGCACCACAGACTCTACGCCCCGAGTTTTCCACTCACGCTATTCCGGAAGGGACTTTATTATTCTCTGAATCTCATGAATAAACTGCAGTTGACTGCTGGGCGGGGAGTGCTGGCAATGGGCGCGGATTCGACGTGAAATCCATTCTCTTGGTGAGAGGTTTCAACGAGAACACTTGCTCGGGGGACGGGGCATTTGAGCAGTTTTTTCGGCAGAGAGACTGAGAGGAAGTAGCTACATAGGGACATCCTTTCTGAATCCCCTCAGACACCCTGAATTGACTATTTCCCAGCAACAAGTTCTTTCCAAGGACATAGCATTTTTTCCAAATCTCCCGGCCCAGCAAAAATGTCAATTTTTTTGCCTGAAGAAAAGATATTTTGAGGAACAGATCCATTGGGTTGTAAATAGTTCGTAGAGAAGTACGAGTAGAAGGAATATAGGTCTTATAGTGACAAAATAGCTGTCTTAGATTTTAAAAAAAAATACTGCTTAATTAAATAGCTGAAATAAAAGCTGAACTGTTCAGTAAAAGAAATACAGCAAGCAAGGAAAGTATTTGTGAATTTCATTAAAATCACTACAAATAAAACCATTGATCAACACGAATAAACCAGCGTGTTTGGTTGTACGAAAGCCTAGACGGGTTATTTTTATTTTTCCACCTCACTAACGATGTGCAGTCAGAGACAGAATCAGGCAAGCCATTGGGCCCTATGATGATATCTTAACCACAGTAAAGAAACGCAAGGTTATAAAGTGGTTTGGGCATGTATCAAGATCATCAGGGCTTGCAAAACGATTTTACAGGAACAGTGCAAAGAGGGAGAAGAAGGGGCCGACAAAAGAAGCTTTGGGAGAACAATATTGCTGAATGGACAGGGTTGAAGTTTTGCGACGCCGTAAGAGAAGCTGAAAACAAAATAAAATGGAGGGAGAGGGTTGCAACGTCCGTGGCACCCCAACGGTCATTGACCACGGGATAGATGCAGGTGCAATGGATTTTAGCAATAGCGAATAAGTTTCAGCAACAGGGAATGAGTTTTTAGCGACACTGAATGGAATTTAGCGATAGCGAATGAGTTTTTAGCGACGGCGGATGGATTTTAGCGGCAGTGTATAAACTTGAAGAAAAGTAACATCTTAAGTAAATCACAAGGAATAAACTCGTAAAATGTTGACTTGTAACATGTTGTGTTCGCTAACCTATGCAAATATGAAGTTAAACAAAGACTCCAATATCGCTGTTCATTTCAGCGTTGTTCGTTGTTATGAACTAAGCCGCTCATTCTACAGTACAGATTCTAGTAATTATAAGCGGAATACTTTCAGTGATCAGAATTTTTCTCACATATCGGAAAAATACATCAAGTTCTCTTAGTTTGATTTATCCACAGGTAGCCCAAGCTTACTTAGCCTCCCCGCAGACGTCCTTTGGGGTTGAATGAATGCGTGACAAACGAACCCCAAAGGATGTCTGCGGGGAGGTTACTATTTGCCTGCGTGCAGACGTCTCCTATTTCCTTGTTGCACGCGTGCAACAAAGGAAATAGGAGACGTCTGCACGCAAGCAAGTTACTATGAGAGCCCTGAACAACATTATCCTACTTAGCTAATTCATTATTCATACGACAACAGTTATAAATAGACCTTGTCACGGTTTTCGATGCCATCTTGACGAGTAGGCAAACGCGTGAGAAATTACATTGTTTGTATGAGAATCTAATGTCGGATAATTTCCGTAAAACGGCTGTTCTGAAAAAAATATTAATTGTAAACTAAAGCTACAGTGCAAAGGATTGTCCTGAAAAATTTTGGGGATGTACCTGTGCTTAAATTTCTCCCGAGGCTTGCTTTAGATTTTCCATATATTTGTCTGTAATTTTCCCGGGACTTTCTTACAGACAAATGTATAGAAAATTTAAAAAAGTGGTTCTGGGTCTTCAAGTGAATGTAACGCCCTCAATTTTTTTCAGGAGAATCTTTAGAAGTGAAGCTTTAGTTTACAAGTCATATTTTTTTTCAGAACAGCCGTTCTACGGAAATTATTCGACATTAGATTCTCATACAATCACTGTAATTTCTCACGCGTTTGCCTACTCGTCAAGATGGCGTCGAAAACCGTGACAAGGTCTATTATCCTAGCTTGGACTACCAGCTACCTGTGATTTATCGTGTAAAAAACAACCTAAAACTTTTACAGCGGTTTTTGTTGTTTCATGGGCTATTGACTATTGTTAATTAGCTACAGCTAAATAGCGAATATTGAAAACATCCGGACGACTATATTAGCCTACGTGTAGCCGCACCCTCCCCTCGACA